TTTTCTGCATGCCTGATGCCTCCTGGCTTTTCAGTGGGAGCGCTGGGCAGTGTTAGGGCCACAGTAATCCATGGAAGAAGCTGGAGGCCTGATGATTCCAGTACCAGCTTTGAAATGAGTAATTAAACTAGGGTATTGCTGATGTACCAATTTTATCAAACTTGTTCTCTGTAGCATGTCTTGAAACCTGTAATGCTTCTTTAGGATAAACCATTGATTAATGTCTCATTTGCACAAAGCTATAGTGTCTTTCTACTTGCTTGGTTAGTACATTAACCAGGATTAAGCCCATATTCTTTGCTAGTACCTAAAAGTTAGCCTCTGACACAGATTTAAGGGATGTTTCATCCAGTTAAAGGGACATAATTGAACTTGCCATTTTCAGTTTTTGAGCTTAGCTCTGAACTAAAGTGCAACTAAAAATATATACAAAACCTGAAATCATCAGGGTGTTGCAACATCTAGCTTTAAAGAAGTTTCATTAAACAGAACAACCCAGTAGGAGAAATATTTTTTTCTTTCTTTCTTTAATAAAGGATTTATGATGCTGAATAAAAAAAATGGACACGGGGGGCAAAAAAACCCCCAACATTTCTCTCTGAAAATAAAACAGCCAACTGTCAAGACTGATTCTTTGAAGTCCACTGCATAAATTTTACTAACTCCCTACTTAGTATTAGCTAACCTATAACTGAATTAGATATCCTAAAACATTCATCAGGCTTGAGTTGTCCCTATAGCTGGGAAAAGGAAGCCTCAAATTCATACAGAGACATTAAGTAAATACTTCTCCAATTAATAAGATGTTCAAGAAATGTTTCCAGTCCTGTAAGTCAGTTTTATTTAAAAAATAGAGTCCAAACATTGTTTTTTCAATAAGGTGCAACATATATACTGTTTTCTACAATAAAAAACAAAAAAGCCAACTGAAAACAGAGCAAAACTGTATTCATAATTATAGTGTCATTCCAACACGGAATCAGTGGGTCTCCTGTAATCCTTAAACATTTTTTTGCTGCTTCATCAAAGCATAAGAATTTATAATTAGTATTACTGTGACAGCCAAAGGGTCTGGCTAATATCCATATTCTGTACTTTTACAATAAACTTTCTGGTACAGATTGCTTCAAGTACACATCAGAAGCTGAATGTAACAGAACACAGTTCATGCAAAACAAAGGTACAATACTGAACTTGCATCGTTCAAAGATCTTTATTCTCTTGTTTAGCCTGACGTCTTTGAAGTCCAGCTGCTTGAACATGAGGATAGAGCTGAGGCTGCATAAAGTGAGCACTATATACTGAAGTACTTATGTAACTCTAAGATTGATCAGGGTACGTGACTATCTTGAGCTCTACAAACTCAAATAAATGCTTAAGGCTGAGATCTATGCCTCTTGGAGTCTAGTCAGTAACTTCTGAGACATATTTGGGAATACAGATGGAAAACAGTGACTGATAATGGGCTTATTATGTGGAAATACATTGAATCATTACATCATAACTGTATTTTTTTAGAAAAGCATGTTATTAATTTGTATTAGGAGTGTTCCCTAGATAGTCATAGTAAGAGCAATGAAGACTGTAGCATGGAGGAAGCTTTCTAATTAGCAAAATCTGTCCAGTTTCAAAGCCCTCCAAAGTCATTCTAGCATCACCTCAGCCTTGGTAATGCTGAGCAGCTGAAGTTAGCTATGACTATGCCATTTCTGGAAAGCTAAATGTCAGTCCCTGCTCTAAAGGGGTCTAATATATTTCGAACAGACACTGGAACAAGGAGCAGCAGTACACAGTTACACATCCAAAGCTGTTTTCCTAGACCCCTTAGATATTTAAACCATCCCATCTAAAGAGGAATGCAATTGATTGATAGAAAAGAGCTGTACACCCATTTACCTGCCTTCTGCTTGGGTGCTAGTCCAAGGGTCGCACTGCACCCACAGTAAGTGCATAAATCTCAATTCCTTCTGTTATTTCTTACAAACCACTATGCTGGGTTTATGGATCCTGTTCTTATGTCCTGAGGGCTCCTCATATACAGTCTAATGAGACAAGGCAACAGGCTATCACAGTTGGTTTTAGTGGATTGCATGTCTGACTGTTAATGGGAATTAGCCACACAAGTTTATGCCTACGCAGAGCCACAGGCTGAGCTTAAACTGATAACCCAAGTCAATGCCCAAGTGAGTTTGTATTCAGGGCCCGTTTAACCTCTGTTAAGTGACTCCAGGTCTTTTTCTCTGGAAATGACAATGTTTTTCAGAGTTGATATAGCATCCTAGTTCCTGTTAGCAAACATTGCCCTCAGTACTGTGAATGCTCTTCAGAAGTAGCTCTGCTATGGACTATGTTATAATGCCACATGGACTGAAATTTTCTTCACTAACGGAGAAGGCTTTAGACCTCTCCTTTCTCCTGACATATATGAAGCCTTGAGTTTGACTTCAAATAGCAGATTAATTCACTTCCCAACTTACTTCTCTTGGCTTATGAGCAAAAGAGGTGTTTAGAAGTGTTCAAGTGGGGAGAGTACACCCTCTTGTTTCCTATGTAAACATAAAGGAAGATGGAGAAGTGTTCATCAAACACGTATGTCAACATCAAGAGCTAGAAAAGCAAAATGTAGAACACAGTTTACGTTTTAATTTCAGAACAAGATTGCTCTCAAAGACTGTTATTTATAGCAATCTAAAGATTGCTATTTATCTCAGCCCAAATGCCTTAGATTATAGTGGGTTTGGGTAGAATCTGACATTTGTAATAAGCCCTACTTGGGTTTAGATGTGGAAATGAACTGATTTTATTTTATGATGGCATCTCTGTTCAAATGAGGAAATCCAATGTTTATGAGCTTGGTTGTTGACTTGGTTGGTTTCTTTATAAGTTTGGCTGATGACAGCTTCACAGAAAAATATAAGAAACAACAACATTTTGTTGTATTTCCTATTTTCAGAGGGAAAGGGTTGCTTAGTTCTATATTTTACATAGTTTTAACAATATCCCTTTAATAATACATTGTACTGCAGATGTTCAGTTAACAAAAAGTATACACTGAAATATTTATGGGCCTTGGCCGGAGCTATGTATATTTATGTCAGTCTGTTGCAAACACTATTGTTAAATGGAGTACTTACCAGATTAAAATTATTCCTTTACTTCCGTTTCTTTTACTTAAACAATTTGGGCCATATTTTGTGTGAATGCAGTGGGACATGCCAGAAGGAAGCAGGGCTACTGGAGATAAGAGGCGGAATCTGTGACGTGTATCTTCAGGCATCTAATTTAGGGTACACCTGGCTAGTTGTCTCAGTTCAGGCACACAATTATCATGTACATTGCCTACAAGTTGGACCAACAGTCTGGCTTTTGTCTGAAGTAAGAAACAGGCTCTTCTGGCATGAGAGGTCTCCAATCATCTCTTTCCATGAAGACCATTTGGATGCAATGGATGTGAGCTACCAGTATCTGTATGGATTTGAATAAAAATAACAGGAGTCTTAGATGCCTAAATGAAGGAACCAGACTCTCAGAGGGTCTGAAGATGATTCAGGGCACCTAAATTAAGATGCAACCTCTCTCCAAGATTTAAGCTTATAGTTACAAAGCAAATACTGGGCAGTGTGGATTATGTGTTACTGACAGTATTAGTATTGTTACTGATAGCAGTATTGACCAAAGTGCTACTATATTAACACAGACAACGCTGCTTCTGTGCATCTCACTTAGAACCAGAACAAGGGTTTAGGAAAATTTAACATTTTTACCTGAGTGACTTGGCGGTCCCTACCAGGGGCTGTTAAATCTTGTTCTTGGTGCAAACAGATCAGTAGTTAAAGCTTTGCTATTGCCGTTTGCATTCTCAGGCCCTTTGATCTTATCCAGCCTTAGTGTTGTGGGGAGGACTTCCATAGTCCTGTGACTGGCAGATGCATAAAAAGTAGATCTACTACAGAATAAATGTCTATGACTCTTAAATTAACTTCAGCAATCTCTTGACGGGTGCAGACAAATGCCAAGAAATAGTGGTGACGAAAAGAGAATAAATGGAGAATGAGAAATCAATGCAGAACTTCATTAGTTTGTGAAAAATGATGATGTACGCAAGGGGAGACAGGTGGGAGATCTCATGTCTTGTCATTAACATTGATGAGAGATGGATACCAGTCTCCCTTTAGTGCCTTTGAAAGTTCCTCCATGGGTGTCTATGGTTTTTCCTGTTTCCACAGCAAACCACATAATACTAAATGTTACAGTACCTGTATGCAAAATTGCATAGAGAAATAATAAATCCTTACAAATAAGTCACATTTCAACATTAATAAAGGGAGGTTGATTGGCAGAAATGCTAAACTGTATAAACTTCAATGGACTAAAGCAGGGAGCAGGGGACACTACATTTTAAAGTGAATTGAAGTGTGCTCTTGCTCCTTTACCTCTAGTCTTGCTTCACTTTTACAAAAATAAATGAAGATGACAAAATCTTTCATTTCAAATATGACCATTTTTTCCCTCATGAAAATGGTATAATTCAGTAGCATATAAATACCATGACTTCAGTAACAAAAACAACTGAGATTACTCATACACACTCTTTAGTCTGGAACACAGATCTTTATATCTCTTAATAGCTTATACATAGACAATGTCTTGCAAGTCTTCACACCTGCCTGGAGTTACTGTGAACACTGATGCATCCCACTGGTGCTCCTGGCTCTTTGTCTCTAAGCACCACATCACTTACACCCACCAACGCTCCAATTGAGCTGTTGGGAATCTCATTAAGGAAACACAGCTTGACGTCTGCAGCTGTTCAGAGTTTCTAAACTGCCTTCCTCATTAAATAAGTGCCATCCTGCATCCACTCCCTCTGTCAGAGACATATTGGGCCATTCTTCATACACATTACATTTTCTTTTCAAACAAAATAAAACACCAAACATAGCCTTTGTGTTAATCTAGAAGGGATTCCTTTGGGGTTACTTTCTTCTTCCTTTACCAGTCTAGTTAAACATGATAGATTCAGGGTCCTGGTTTGCCATTTGAGCCATATGTCTTAATACATCCTTTTTAGTTATGATACCCAGCAGCCTCCTAGAGGAGAAAAGGAAAGGAAAGGTCAACAATCATCTCATATATCATCCTTTTATTATTTTATTTTTCCCTGCTCAACTGCAGGGACATTTTCTAAGTGCTTCCATATAGCACTGTCCATCTCATCCATTCCCCAGTGATTATCTTCTATAAAAGGCATTCTCACCTCATATATTTTTACACCTCACGTATTTCAGTCACGATCATTAAGTGAAATACTTCAGGCTGTCATCTTTTTCTTATTGGGAACATGACTGAGTGAGGAGCTACAACTACTGACGCTTTGTACAACAAAATAATGAGTTTCTTTAGGCAAAGGCTGCAGAGGACTAACAGCACAAAACCAAGGCATCAGTGCCCTGAGCTAGGGCATGGGGTTTAGTAACACATGAGCTAAGCTAAAGCACAGACTTACTTTCATAAACTCTCTCTGTTCAACAGCATAGTTCCTTCAAAGCTGAGTGATAATTTCTCACTTATGTGAACCTAAATGAATTATACATATATATACACATATCTGTCAAGAAAGATAAGGCCTGTGGGATGTCTAGCCCCAAGAGTCAAAAATTTCCTAAGCCTCAGCATTCAAGAGCTTTCATTTCCAGCCCTTGAAGGCCACAAGGCACTGAAATCTGAAGCTTCGTAACGTTTACAGTTTTTCCGCCTTTCATTTCATGAAAGTGCTAGAACTCAAGATCAAAATTCCCGAATCCAGGCACCTGAAATCAGCACCAACCTGCTCCCTGATAATGGCACCTATCTTCTTAATACTGAGGACACCGCATTGACAGTAACAGAGGGTGGTGAGGCACTGGAATAGGTTGCCCAAGGAAGTTGTGAATACTCCAACCCTGGAGGTGTTCAAGGCCAGGTTGGACAGAGCCTTGGGTGACATAGTTTAGTGTGTGGTGTCCCTGCTCATGGCAGGGGGGTTGGAACTAGATGATCTTAAGGTCCTTTCCAACCCTAACTATTCTATGATTCTATGATAAGCTATATTCTTGAGTAAAAAAAAAAAAACGCTTTTTGCAGGAGACTGGATTTTAGTGTTCTGCATTTAAAAATTATGGCTCTGTTTTTGCTATCCTCTTGTAAAGTTTCTTCTTACTATGAGATCCTGGGATGAGCAACGATCCCAAAATAGCTCAAATCCCATTGGAATTATGGGGTGTTATTTCTGGTGCTCATAGTGCAACTTTTTACTCTCCTAATTTCACGTTTGCCCTCACTTCTTCAACTGGTTTTTGTGGACTTTCAGTTTATATGCCTTTCCGGTTTCCATTAAAGAAAGCTGAATATGTCTTTCACTGACATGTTTTCACAGTCTTCAAAAGCATCTGATCTAGAAATGCATGTTTAGAAACAGGCACATTCTTTGCAAACAATACTACTTGCCAGATCTGCCTCTGTTGAAAACTGAATGATAGCAGGAGCCAGGACAGTTTATTTTGTATTTATCTTTACCTTATCTGAAAGACAATACACTAAGGATTTCGGAGAAATAATCATAATGAAACATAACACCCAGCAAGTGCTATTTTGCTTCTGAGTCTGATTTCTTTTGCTGCCCTGGAAAGACACTGGGTGGGCTTCCCTTATTCTTCTAGTCCCGAAACAGACAAAATCAAAATAGTCACTTAACTATCTGAAAAGTGCTGATTAATTAGCTACTGTCTATACTTGGCTTTAAACAGGAAAAACAGTGGATTTAGAATCATAGAACCAACTAGGCTGGAAAAGACCTTTAAGATCACCAAGTCCAACCTTTACCCCAGGACTGCCAAGTCCACCACTAAACCATGTCACTAAGGGCGTCATCTACATGTTTTTTGAACACTTCCAGGAACAGCGATTCCACCACTTCCCTGGGCAGCCTGTTCCAATACCTGATGACCTTTTCGGTGAAGGAAGTTTTCCTAATATCTAATCTAAACCTCCCCTGGCACAGCCTGAGGCTGTTTCCTCTTGTCCTACTACTCATAACTTGGGAGAAGAGATCAGCCCGCTCCTCGCTCCATCCTTCTTTCAGGTAGCTGTAGAGAGCAACAAGGTCCCCCCTGAGCCTTCTCTTCTCCAGACTAAAAAACCCCAATTCCCTCAGCTGTTTCTCATGACTTGTGCTGAAGAAAATCTCAGATTCTCTAAACATGTTTGACTCAGCATCTACTCACCCACTGCGAGTGACAAGACACTGCCGGAGTCCTAGTTTCCGGAAAATATCTACCACAGTCTCCATTGGTGTGTGGTCAGTGACAGTGAAAGGACTCAGGTTGAGAATACGCCGCAGCTTCAGTGGATGGGGACTGTTGGGTGGCAGTTCAGGGGGGTCTTCAGTGAAGTACACAATGGAGTTGCTCACCACCCCATCCTGACGCTGTCTTGCATTCTCTATCCAACAGAAAGTTCAAGGTAGAGAGTGAGTTAGGTTTGATTAAATAAAAAAATACCCTCCTTTGGAAAGCAAAGGTGGTAGATGCCTTTTGTCTTTAATGTATCAAGATGCCAGAAGTTCGAGTTACTCAGCAAACTTGAATTTCCTTAAGACATTGTTCCCTTAAAGCAATTGTGAGCGATATTTTTACAAACACATACTTTTGCTTGGTTAGGATAATATTTTTCTGAATAAATATGCAGTTCATTGCATTCACAAACATCACTAATCTAGTTTCTGTCAAACTCAAATGATTATATGTCATTTCCTCCATTGTTAAAATCACAACGGAAGCTTCTATTATATGCCCGAAGGAATGGAGTCAACAGCTGTGTATGGTCCCAGCTGGCTCAGAGTATTATGTTTGTTCCCAGACATTCTCAGTGGAGTTGGGAAAATCTGGGCATGGTGAATGGATTTATGAACACAAAGCAAGGGAAAGACCAATTCACATCCCAGAGATGTGTGTTGGTGTGGGTGTTGTTCTAGACCAGCAAATCTCTCTGGCGTGCCAGGTGAATTTTATGGGTTTGCATTTAATTCCTTAAATAGAGTTTGCATATCTAGATTTTAATAGGGCAGAAAAAAAATAGCATCTTACTTGAAGGAAAACAGTAAAGAGAGGAACAACATATAGCAATAAATAAGTCATACATTTTTTCCTCAATGGTACATATTTGACCACTTTCAAAAGTTCAAAAGCTATCATTCATACTCTGATCAAGCTATGAAGTGAAATTCACACTACATCTGGATTTTACATGAATAATATAAGCCTATTACTTTAAAGTATGCTCCAAGAAGAATTCTTAGCATTGAAAGAGTTTATTTTCTTTGTAGTGTTTACCTGATCTCTACTCTACACTATAGGGCATGAAAATATATGAGATGGGTTTCCAAATGATAGACAACTTCTCTGTTCCCAGAATAAGCGTATCGTGTTTGGCTCTGAGGGTTTAACTCTGCCTTTTCTTTTTCTTTTTTTTTTTTTTTGTATAAATTCTTGGAAATGGTTAGAAGAATTATCTTTGATTAATATAGGTTGCTCCTGTTCTTGAGAGGTACAGCAAATCAGACGTACTCAAACCGTGTGTATACATTTCTCGGAGCTCACTGCCATCAATCAAAGTGCAGAAACCTGCTCCTGTGACTTGTAATGTGTAGACAGTAATGGTTTCCAACATGTTCCAGCTGCATTTTTTTCCCTTTAATGATCATTGTCTTGTAATATTTCTGGAACTGGAGCAGTGCTGGCTCAAACCTAATATCAGTAGAGTATACGATTTTCAACCTTCTCACCCCACATCTTACAAGGCCTATTGCAATTTATAGGAATGATGCTAACTTTGTCTCATCTTGTTTTGATTCATACATCTAATTTCAAGTGTGAATATGCCTGCATAGCTCTTTGATATATGATCTGCGCTAAGAGGTAACATTAATCAAACTGAAGGTAACTCCCACTCTTTGATAAAAAGCCTTGACAGCTAGGTATTTCCTTCCCAAAGCTGCACCCAAAGCAATAGGCCCAAGCATTTCAGTTACCACATTGCTGTTCCCAAGGCAGCAATGACCTTGGACAACAGTGATTAGCCAAAGCCATGACTTCACTCTTCAAAGGCAAACATCTCTCTGGAGAAATTTGAATGATGTAGTACTATTGAGCAAATTCTGTGGCATCAGAAAAATGGGGGACTTTGTATGCAGTCTCACAGGATGGGAGAGTTAGAGTAAAGGTAAAAGGGAGGAACAGATCATTTTTGCAGTCAGCAGGCAAGAAAAACAGACATAGCTTAACAGAAAGAGAAAAGAGTGGATGGTGTCTGTTTTTACAAAGTAATCTATGCAGAAGGCTTTTGTCGTAGCTAGAGAGTGAATTAGTTCTCCCAAATGCAAAACGGCCTCTCATACTCAGGAGTTCACAGTTCACAGCCTATATTAACTACATTGCTCTCTCAACTCCACATTGGGAAATGTACATTATACAGGCCACCTGGCTTGTGTCCAAGACTCTGCCTTTTGTACAATGCCTCTGAAGCTGGCCAAATTTAAGAGACGCTTTACAGGGCCAAATACGCACCTCCGTAGGACTGTAAACTAGGTGCCATCTAAAATGTAGACACCTATTCTCAGAGGGTGACTCTGGCCACCTGACCTGCACACGTCCTCAACAAGGACCAGTGGAAGGACGCAGTCCTCCTGAAGATGCTTTTGAGCAATCAGAAGCGGCATTGCCATTCACTTTACAGGGACCAGATGCATATCTAGGCCATGCTTAGCCCTCCACCCAATAAGAAAGAAATTATACAGGGGTAAATCATGCGGCAGAGCGGTATTTGATGTAGGATTCAATAGCTGTTGCCTTCATCCAAGAAGTCGGTTGTGTGAAGGAAGCGGAGTACTTCCGCAGAGTACTCTTTGGGCCACCGCACTGCTGATGCACAATGTATTGGCCAGAGGGGGAAGCTGAAGCTTCTTGGTTGAAAGCACTTCTCCATGTAGTGCCATGTGTTGTCATACTAGTTCAAACTGAGGAGGCATTTTGCAGGGCATAATCCACTGAAAGAAGAGATACTGGTGTGGGCTTTTCAGACAATCTCATTCCCTGGCTACAGTGCTGCACAAGTGGGTCTCCTACTGTTCACAGACATCCCTCCAATATCTCTGGATGCTGTCAGGCTGAGTAGGAGAAAAGAACCTGAACAGGAGAATAAAAGATGCTTCACCACATGTGATGTTTACCTCTTGGTAAGTAGTTTTATATTTTATGAAGACCTAGTGTATGGCTGCATGAACATAACTATGAATCAAGCTGAGGGGAAGCTTTGCAACACAATAGCTACTCTATGGTAATGAGCAGTGATGACTTCTGCAATAAATGCAAAGCAACTTTGGCCTTCAGTGAGAGAGGATTAGCAATCAAAAAGTTGCTAACATGGTACAAAACCAGTATTTGCCCTGCCCTGTACTGAAGCCATGTACTATGTCTTTTGGAAAAATGAAACCAAATCCAGCTTTTAAATCACAAAGACACAAACCATACTGGAAAGATTAACCGTTTATCACAGAGTCAGCACAGTATGACATCAGGAGCTGTCATACTCAACCAAAGAGAAGGGTCACCAAAGGTCCCTGACAGCTGGGGATTTTAGGAAAACTAATGCATGCAGAGAAGGTTTTGATTTTAAATTGCAGTTCTGCCTTAGATCTTACGATTGTTCTTAATTAGAGCTGATCAGGAAACTACCTTTTCCTCTGGAAAATGTGGATGTGAAAGAACAGGAAAGCATTTTTATCTAAAATATTTGCTGAGTTTATTTTTAACTGATTTCTTTGTTATCAGTACACAGCTGGACATTTTCACACATCTCCTAGCAAGCCCATTCAGCCATCTTGCCATCTATGACCTGAATCAAAAGATTCTGTTGCTCAAACTTCTCTGACTTGCTTCAGACAGCATCTGATCTTTCCGCTTTTAAAGTGAGGGCTCTGCATCTTCACTCCATGCATTTTTCCCACCAACATACAGTACACTCATACTCTACTCACTTATTGCAAGAATCAGCTCTCGTCTCTGTGCAAATCCAATAAGTCTCTCTGAGTCTTTCGAAACCACTACTGGAAAGCCATTGTAGTCAGTCTCCTTGATTAGTGTCTCAACATCCTCCACCGTCATGCTGTCCTGTGTCAGAACAGAGAGAGGAGCTTCACCACGCCTTGGTCTCATGACATCAGTTGCCAGGGTTCGGTGAGTGAATTCATCCTTCACATCCAGAAATGGGTAGCCATTCAGATGAATGTGAGCTTCATAGATCCCTTCTTTCCCAAAGGCATCTGCCACCCACTTGCTTGTGACAGCTGCAGCCATAAGAGGTACGATGTACTCCAGGCCTCCAGTTAACTCAAACATAATCACCACCAGAGAGACCGTCATTCGAGTAACACCACCTGCCAACAAGGAGAGCAGTCAAGTTTCCCTCAGTGCTCTTGAAGTATATATACTAAGCAACTCATTTACATTTTTGAGTCTTACACTCACAAAGGCACGAGATTATTCATGCTGAGTACTTTGCCCTTACACTTAGTGAAGTATTTTTGGGCTTATTTCACTGAAGAAAGAGATTTTTAATCATCTACTGCAATTTTCATCAAAAAGATTGAGTGAACTTGCTCAAGCCAAAGATGATAACACTGAAAAGCAAACAATGAATCCTAAAAGACTGAGCTATCAAACTAGAAAGCATGTTAAAAAAAATCAGCTATGTTGGATACTTGAGAAACTAAAACTGAATCCTGCCATTAGCCCTCTGAAATTACTCGAACAATCAGCTGAGGACCCTGAGCGGGTGAGGTAGGAGCATTGGGAACTGGCCTTCATATTGGTTAACCTATCGCATTCATACTGGAGACAAAGCTAAGCACTATCTTTGGGCATGACACAGTTACAAAATCCTATGCAAGGAGAGTTTAGGGCCACTGCAAGATCTATGTTACAGCTTAAACCCTAGCTTTTGATACCAGTGTAACATAAAGTTTGAACTGCATACAACTTGGTTTGAGGCCACATAGGCATGCAGCTGTAAACAGACTTGTAGCTGTATTTTTCAACCTAGTCTTTATGTATTAATTTCATAACCAAGCTCTTTACTCCTTCAGTTTACATTAAAGGATAAAAATAATCACGGAACTGCAGACAAGTATGTACATACCACTGAATTATTAGGTAACATCTCTTTGCCTCTGTTCAAAAGGTAAATGTAATAAATCTACTATTTTTAGGCCTCAAAATACAGCACCATTTTAGATGAGAGAAATCAGAAACAGGTCATTAAAAGATGCTTTTAATCTAGCAGCATACAGGAAAATTAAATTGTTGATTATTTAACGTGATGATCCGGATATGACTTTCATCTGCTGAAAGAATTTAAACTTCCGACTCTGAAAAGCTGAGAGCAGATACTAGAGAAAGAAGCATTTAGTAACACTTACTCTGTGTCTCTTACTTTAAGCAAGACAGGTCTTGAGCTTAAGAATGAGCAGTGACCATTCTGCTGTATGTCTCACCATACTATCAAAGACACTGCACCTCGATTTGGAACTTTTAAGAGTAAGTGATTGCTGACTAGAAGATCAAATGTAATATCAGACCAAAATTTTTGTTTTATGAACATTAAGGTCATTTATGGATAAGAGGAAGTGTTTTACTGGTTTTGACAGTAAGATTCATCCTAGCTATTTAATGTGCCTACACTGCTTTAGGCGTTCACATGGAAAGGGGTGATCCAGGTTGGCTTTATAATCTCTGGAGGAAAACAGGCATTTTTGAGGCCAAATTCATCTGCTAATTTTTTAGATGGTTTTAGATGTCTGTTGCCAGATGAGACTGATCTTTCCAGTATCTTATTTTTTTGTTTTGTCTGTGAAGGGTATCAACACAGCTAGCTCAGATGCTGATGTCTACATTACAGACATTAAATTTAGACAAGCAAATTCCGCCTTTCCTTCTTTCCTCTATAACTGACTGCACAAGTGATCCTGCTTTTCCCATATGAGACTCCAAGACTGAAATTCTTCTAGCATTTCCCTGAACATATCTTGCATTTCAAATCTACCCAATAATATTAATCACGTCTTATGCTTTCCCACTATTATTTCATCATCTAATGATGGTATCAACAGCAACAACAAAAGGAGGTAGAACATACAAGTACAGAAGGAGAAAAGTATGATCAGGCAAAAACATGTTCAGATGATATGCTTGTAACATTCCTGTTGCATCTATGACTAGAAATTTGATATGTCAGGTATTATTCAATGATCTTGCTTTAATAGTTAACAGATCATTCCTGTTAAATTCAATAAATCCCATTGATTGAATGTAATCAGATATTGGCCTATGGTCAAAACTAAACCAGGATACAGCCCAGTTGGCCATATGTGACACACAGCCAAAATAAGACCCATAATTTTTACCTCTGTGTAGCTTACAATTTGGCCAGAACTGGGAATTTTGTTCCTTGCACTGAGAGAGAGCATAGTCTAAACAGTGAAGTAGCTTTAGTCCAGATACAGTGGATTTCACTACATCAAAAGGGGAAGAACACAAAAAACCCAACCCAAACCAAACAAAAAAGCAAAAACACTCCTCCTTGAAAACCTGTAGCCTAACTTCAATTTTTCTTTCTTTCTACATGGGTTTTGGCAGGTTACACAAGGGGTAGGCATTGGTGACAAGCCTCTCTGTTGTTAACTACCTGGCAATCACTAGAGAGGCCATCAGAGGAAGTTGCCCATGCTTTAGCCAATCACATCTTGATTTCAACCCCTATTATGTGCAGAAATGCCAACTTAGCACCTAACACAGACACAAAGCCCTCATAAACAATTTGTAGGTCCCCAAACGTCAGTGTTACTCATGCACAAACCAATGATCAGCAGGTACTGTACCCAAGCAAGCTGCTGCTCCCACCATAGCATAAAGTCCTGGTGTGACGCAGTCTGCCCCAGGTCTGCACCAGTTCCTGAAGATGATCCAGTCATGATGGTGATATGCCAGCTGCTCTACTCCAATCCCAACCATCCTGCCAGCCATGGCTCCAACAGCCATGCTGGGAATGAAAAGGCCTGAAGGGATCTTGAACAAAATACAGACACATAAGCACCTTGATAAAAATGACTAGTAATTAACTTATTGATCAAACAATTAATTATTAGTGGTAAGAAAACCCCGTTTCCTTATTAATTGTCAGCTCAGAAGGCCATAGCCTTATAGCAGCCTACAGTGACGTTCTCTGTGGTCCGAGACAGGTTTCTGCATGATGGGTTTGCGTGGCTACATGTGTATTAAGAGCTTTATAAAATGATAATGCTTTATGTAATTTTGAATTCTACCTGCTGCATCACATTGAATTTGATAGCTAAATGGTGCTTCTGAATGATAGTATGCTTTTGAAGTCAAGATGCTCTTGGCTTTGCCTGTATTGCTTTCTCAGCAGGATGCTGATGGTTCTGTCATGGACTTGAGAATTAGCTTAACTGAAAATAACATCTTGATTTCACCCCCTCTACCACATGGAGTACTTTATAGTTTTATTACTACTCTTTCAGGCTAAATCAGACCAGATTTTAAATTAAATGGCAAATAGAGAATAAAAATTCAGAGAAAGGATGCTGACCGCCCAGAGGCAGCTATTTCTTCATCTCAGCTTTTTATATATTTTCCAGAAAGCTCTATGAATCATTACCTTGCTGTGGCAAGGGCTGGCTTGGAGTTTTTATTGTTTTTAGAGTTGAAAGGTGGTTATATCTTTTTAATTCTGAAAATACACCTGGAGGTTCCTAGAGAATTAAACAAACAAACTCAGCAAGGCCGAGAGGCCTTAGGGCTGATAACAGCAAGCACTATCTCCCCCACCATATAGTGTTAATTTTGCTGATACCACTGGATTGAGTCTTCTGGATTTGGTGGGTAAAGATACTTAGTCTGTTCTTTTGCAGAATAATTGAAACTGTCAATTGCTTCTAACAAATTTTAAATGTATACAGTAAATAAAGAACCACATATCAAATAAAGAACCAAAATCAAACATTTTTAAACAAATGAACAAGCAGAACAACTGACTGCCAGCCATAAATCAGCTTCTGCAGTGAAGGGCGTCTCATTCCAAGACCTCCTCCAGAAATATCTTACACCTGTAATATCCAAGTGCTCTTAAACTCCCACTTCTTCTCCCTGCTCAGGAAATCAGCAGGACTTACTCACTAGAGTCCTGACTGACTTTCTACCATTCAGTAGTTCTTGTCCTCAGATGAAACAAAACACGAAAGAAAAGCAGAACTCCAACAACTTCCCACTATATTTCAAGTAAAAGACCTTCTAAAAGATGGATCCTCAGTTCAAGGGCAATATTTAAAAGAAAGATGAGATGCTTAGCTTTGAGTGTGATATAAAATACAGTGTACAACTTAGAAAAACTTCGCATTCTCTGCTGCAATCAGATCAAAAACTAAATGCTCAGATAATGGAAACCGTAGAGAGACAGATACTTATTTTATATGGGCTCTAGCAATCAGACATATAAAACTCACCACTAACAGTTTTGTATATACTGAAAGCTTGGATAAATTGTTCTTGGATCTTTCATCACCCATTTATGGGGAGAAGGAGGAGAAGCAAGAGGTTGCAAACCCAGAATAATCAAATCATACATCCATCAGTCCTCCCACTCATTCCCTCTTCTTTCCAAGCTACGGTGTTTAAAAAGATTCAGAAATAGAACTTTTCAGCTACTTTTACATTTTCTGAGATTTTAAATGTGTAAATCAGTAAATTTAAAGCTTTCACTTCCCTGACCATAGTTACCTTAAGGCACATTAACACATTAATTCAACAAGACAAACAGCAATGTAAATGGTTCATATCCCCAAGAGAACTGAAAGACTACTGCAGTGGGAATCATCTTGAATTTGCTTATTGGCAGCAATGGATTTAAATTCCCACCCAGGTTTTTTTTTGTTCACTTAATAAAACTGCAGATGACTAGAAAGCGAAAAAGCAGAGCTCATCCCTCTGCTGTGACACGGGCCCATAGAGCAAGGTACTGGCAGGCAGGTGAACCATCAGGCATCTCATTGACACCTGCATGGCCATGTGTAGGTCAGAGGCACACAAGCCCTGCCATATAGACCACATTTGCTGAAGGCAACCAATCTGTGCCCTGTGCTCATAACAGCTTCTGCGCCTGTCCCCAGTTTACCTTCATGCCGAAAGTGAATATTGTGATGACAATTTTAAACACCAAAGCCAAGGCAAGCTGCCACATGGCAGTGTAGACTCCAGGGCCAGCAGGTCTGTCAGGAATGTCATCCACTGGCCGGGTCATGTTTGGGTCATTGATGTAGTCGCAGAGCTGAGAGGACTCCAGTGCACCGCAGTCATTGAAGAGCTCCGAGATCAGCTCACTAGTGCTCCTCCGGGTGTAGGGGTTGGGATAGGCGATGATGGCGGTGATAGCTGTTATCACTATGACCTCCAGGACTGGGTATTTCCCAAGTCTGGTGGTCTTTCGCCTCCTGCACCAGGCAATGTTGCATCGGATAAAGAGGGTCCCCCAGAGGCCGCCAAAGACACCGAGCAAGATGAAGGGGAAGAGCTCGGCCATGTACCAGGGTGTGTGGTACTCCACGTAGAACAAGACCAGCCGGCTGTTTCCAAAAGGATTGATGGACCTCAGTGTAAAGGCAGCCACAAGAGCAGCAAAAAATGATCTCCAGAGAGTTTTCAGAGGAAAGTAGTAACTGACCTAAAACCAAGCAGAGACCGTAAACACTTCATGAGTGTGACAGAGGATGTTTGCTTTAATTACCATCACCATGTGTTTCTACACACATGTAGACTCTACATCTGACTTTACTGGGAGCACTAATCCTTACCACAGCCAGAACGTTTTCACAAAGGTATGAGAAAAGGCATTTTCAGATTTCAGACAGGGAGCAGCAACCAGTTAAAAATCGATAAATCTAAATCCAAAGTTGCTAGCTACAGATGATAAGAAGGATGCTCGACAGCTCAGCCCATGTGGCAGCTGAAGAAACCTCAGCACAGGGATACATTTCCAAATTGATTCATTTCATTTGTTTCCAGAAAATGAGTGCTGCTGCTCTACTCACATTAGGCTAAAATACCTGGTTATTTCTTATTACTACAAATCAAAGATAATTTTGCTTCAGGAGAAAAATAAGCACGTAAGTATTTGAACAATAAAGAGGAGTCTTAGAAAAAGGTATCAAATGAAATATATTTATTGAAACAATCAAACTCCCAGGTCTTACCTCTTCCAGACTAAAAAGCACACCTCCAATTGGAGCACCAAAGGCAACAGAAACTCCTGCGGCAGCTGCAGCTGAAAGCACCTAAAAGGCAAATGTTTACATACAAGGTATGAGTCCTTTGAAATACCAAGTATTGGGAGAGGGAAATTAGAGATGATGGGAGCCAACCTCACCTCTCTTCTCTTTCCTTCATTCTTGCTGTACTTTGAGAAAAGGCTGCTGAAGAAGTTTCCACAACAACAGGCCACATGGACTAACGGCCCCTCTTTCCCAAGGCTGAGGCCTGAAGATACCACCAGAACCAAGGTGACTGTTTTGATTAAAAGTGTCCACTTTCCCAGGTAGCCCCTAATAATGAACCCACTCAAGATGGTTTTTATCTGGAAAGCAGGAAGAACATGTTGAAGAGCTTAAGAAACCTCTTCTACTCTGAACTTGCAAATGGAGTTAAAATTCCAGTGGAGTTAAAAATAAAGAAATGGCAAACTGCTTGAAAAGAGACATTGAGGGAGAAAAAGTAACCGTAGGTAGGGCAACTTTCCCACAGCGATATCTGAGCAGGGGTTAAGCAGACCACACTTTTACCCTTGTTATGGGTGGTCCCGCGCTTTGGTAAGGAGTCTCACGGAGATCAATAGAAACATGAAACTCTTACATATCTCCTTGGCTTACAGATCAGAGTTAAACTAGACTCAATTTTAACAAAGCAGAAAAAAAAAGCAAATAAACAACCACAGACTTTTCCCAGTTAAAACAAGAGAGAAAAAAAAGTTCTCATTATTTGGAATGGCCATTCCATAAAAGCATGCAAGTGTTATGAAATAGGAAAGTCCAAGAGATCTTATTTTTACACATTTCCTCTTAATTTGGCATGTGAGTGGATAGAATAGACCACAGTGTACATGCATGAGACACATGCTCCAGGGTAGGATTTGGGTTTGGACTGCAGCCCTGGAAACAGGCTGGAACTGAGCATCACCTCACAAGAGATATTTATCACTCGGAAACTAGACTTACAGTTAACTATGAAAACTTCTTAAAAACACTTACGATATATCTAGCGTGTAACAAACACACACATGACAAACTTGAAACATGGAAATTATTTAAATATTTCAAATTATTGGGGAGGGGGTGTCCTAATTGACTGAAATATTCGGATGCTTCTCCTAGAAATGAAAAAACAGTATGCCAATATTTCTAAAATCTGGGCTGTTGATTCTGTCTGCCAGATTCCTAATAATCCCAGTGATCCTATAGCACTTTTAACAGAAGACTGCTCTGATTTAAGAAATCTTGAGTAGTTATGCCGCTTGAATTACAGGATTCCTCATTTTTACAGCTTAAATAAGGGCTGACACTCAATATGTAAAATATTGAAAAGCAAGTAAGATTTTTGGCTGCCATAATGCTGGCATGACAGCATAACATTGTCTACAAGGACAAAATTTGCAGAAGATGAAAGCCAGACACTCTTCAGGCATCCCAAATGATTGGCATCTTACATCTTCAGCAGCTTACGAAACCTTAGCTTTGTAGGCTCCCTCTTCATTTTATTTTGGTTTTGTTTAAAGCCTAGCCTAGAAAATGACTGGGTTTGTAACTGGCCCAAGTAATTTAATCCAAGGAAAATTCTGTAGAATCTTATAGTGAGTATGTGTCTCAGCCACAGAAATTTGGAGTCCATAAAGCAATTTTTAATTCAAGCTCTGGCAATGAAGTATGATGTGCATTAATCTGCCACAGTGGCATTCGAACACTTTCTACTATGAAGAATTTCGATAAGCACAATAAAGGCATCTTAGAAGAATGGAGGCAGATGAGATAGAAAGACAATCTTTTTGTTCCTATACTATCTCACAGGACAGTTCGGGAATGGGAAAAGGTGGCAAATTATTATTTCTTTGTTTTGTTTGGTAGTTGAATATCCACCCATGAAGAGAAACTCACCTCTGGGATTCCAGAGCCACAGGCATAGGGAGCAAACACTCTGACCAGGGAGACTGCCAGGAAAGCAAAACATAGAGCCCACATAATGTATAGAAAATAGTTTAGAATGTAAGCACTTGCACCCTAGAAAAATAACAGTAACAAACATTGTTAGACAAACATTGGTTGGTAAAACTCACACTTCTACTAGGGATTATGATGGCATGGAATCTGGTCTTTTCATTTACATGATAGCTGCTGCTTTTCCTCAGAAAGGACAAATGACTTCATACAGTCCAACAATTTTATTGCTCATGGAAAGAAGCAGCATTCTAATATATACCTTGGCCGGTCCATACAGTCTGTTTGCAAGGGACCCAAACACCTTAAACAGAATCTCTTTCAAGGATTTAAAAATTAAGCCAACCACCAAAAGTTGTAAAATGTCAAACAAATCTGTCTTGAGGGCAAAAATAATTGGTGATAAAAAAGCACCTAATGATGGAATCTGCTGTGTTCATCCCAAGGTGGGTGAGAGGGATGAGACCCTGATATATCTTTTTCTGAGGGCTGGTATTCAAAGGTCAGCTCTCCATGAAGATGCTGATCCTTTAAAACGACACCCCTGTGTATATCAGTAGCCAGTTCAGTTCACAAATGGGAAGGGTAAAACCATAAATAAATCCTTTCCTTCTAATGATGCTATCCATGATAGGGTTGAAAAACATTTAAAAACACAATAGCTTGGCAGATCCCATTCAGACACATCTCAGTCATTTTTGCCCTGATATTTTAAAAGCATTCTAGTCAATAATAAAACCTATCTTCAAACTGAATAGCTTTACTTCACTGACAGAATGGAAATGCCAGTGATCATTAGCAACAGTTGACCGTGCAGTGCCATAGTGAAGGGATAGTCAATAGTGACCTTCAAGCTTTCTCTACCTGTCTCCAGTGGTCAAGTCAAAACCATTGTTAAAATCTGCCTTAGAACCCCTCCTTCTTCACAAGCATAATGTTTTAGATTAATCTCAAACACTCTACCTACAGAGACAAAATAGAATCTAGTCAGAGGCATCAAACTGATACACATTAAGCCTTTTTAAGGAGATTAAGCCTTCAAACAATCTCCTCTAGCAACATGACACTACAGAATAGAAACCAAGATGAACTTCAGTGCATGAATTGGTATGAATCCTTCACCTTTAAGTGAACTCTTCCTACCAGATACAATCCCAGCTGCTCAAGAACATGGAGGCCCCTGTCTTTGCTCTGCAGGACAGCAGCCTGGATATCAACGTTATGATAAATCAAGCAGGAAAACAGGCATTAATCAGTTGTATCATGTCTCCAGTTAACAGAGCTGGCCAAGCCCAGTTCCTAGTCATAAAAAATCTAGACCTGAGAAGCCTCCTTCTTTGCAAACCTGTAAGGAATCACCTTTTAACAGCATGGATGCTTGCTAGCCTCATTTTCCAGGTCTCTGTCCAAGTGAAAAAACAGTAAAGGAACCACTTATCCTGGTGGATTTATTTGGAAGAAGGGCAATTTGTGAAGGTCCTCTTGTGCTTGCTGAAGTTAGCAGCAGGCTTTGCTGATAACAGCAGAATAACAGCAGCAATATAATGCCACCCTCAAGTGCCCTGAGACTGAGCAGTTATGGATCCCACACTTACAGTGATTGATGTCTGTCTGTAGCAACCATGGATCTCTGTTGCTACAGCTGAAGACAGTCTTGTGTTCATGAATGTCTTCTCCTTACAATTACAAACAGCTACGACAATATTTACTCTTCCTCTAGAGAAAACCCTGGACATGTTGCCCCAGGCAAAATTCTCTTGTCAGTGTGAACCTGGAGTAACTCCAAAGACGACCAATGCCATTACAACAATTTGGTCTTACAATGTTGAGTGAAAGCTGTAGTTTTGCTTCTAAATTTACTGGAGTCAAATTAACTTTGTTTCTTTTTACTACTTCTTCTTTCACATCTGATGAAAACTGCATCAACGTATTACTGCAATCACACATACACCTAGAGCACTGTGGCAGGACCCCATAAGAGTTTATATGGTGAGTTCAGTCTTATCCATTGGGACAACTCTCATTGTTACTTTTTCCAGATATCTGGCATTCTGCAGGTCCAACTGCAGCAGTTTGTAATGTTTAATAATAATAATAAAAAAACCTTTGGGAAGTGAAGTAGTAGTAACTCAGTATAGCAAACGGTTCATTTCTCATTCACTATATGCCATTCATTGCAAAGGCCCTGAATCAGTAAAAGTCTTAGGCATGTACACTGGAATTGGAGACCAAAAAAGCTCATCAGTAAAGACGATCCTGCCAAGACCTTTTGTATTCTACTAGTGGCTCGAAGGACTCACCCTGGCAACAACAGTAATAAAGCAAGTATGGGAACTGAAAAAAATGTTGTATTTTCGTTTGCAAGACCAAAGCAGTATTATAGATCTGGTGTCAGTCCAGTTTAGGTACAAATGGAACACAGTTGAAAACTACCCTCACAAACTCAGAGTGCTGAAATAAACCACATCCCTCAGGATGCCACCTAATGTTTGTTTTCTCCAGAGACCCAAAGCTCTACTGTAACTCGGCTGGGGAATCTCACAGTTTGCAGACTCCCTCCTGTGGACGTTACAGCAATGTGTCTCCTCAAGGCCAGTAAGACCGAGAAATTAAAGGCTGCAAAACTGGGAAATGGGTTCCAGGTATAAAGGGGCTTCCTTGACTTGCAAGTCTCAGCTTCATGACAGAAGATCCAGAAGCCCTGGGATGGGAATCCGGTCCATTGCTGCATCCAGCATGGCAAAACATGGAAGACTTGGAGTCCTTTCCTTTACCCTGGATAGCTGTAAGGTGCCAGAAATGTGGTTCTCAATTCTAGTGAAGTCGAGGTTGGGACCTAGCTGAATCTGCAGAACAGGTAAAGGTCCAGGTCACCAGATATTTGCTACAGATCTAGCTGAAGTGGGTGGCATTTCATGTGCTTTAACACAATCACTCTTCTGGTGAATATGAAGGTTTGAAACTCTTTTGCATCAAAAAACCCCACTTGACCTGCTGAAACTGAACTGAAAGCAGTTCAGGACCAGAGGGATGAAGGATATCATTCACCTACAAATAGTGATTCAGGAAAAAAACTTAGCCTGGTATGTGTCTGATGTGCTATTACGTTTTCCATAATAATTTACATCAAAAGACTGCTTTGGGCTCATTTTATAGGACTAGAATGAAAACATTTTTCAAGAGGTGCCATAGCAAATGTCACAGTTCTCAGTCAGAACATATGTGCATGGTTTATCACAGCCATAAGTCAGCAACACCACAAGGATGAACTGATCTAAATCTTAGTTCTCAGAATGTCGATTTAGTTGGTTATGATGAGAAAAAGCCAGCCATGCATAAAAAAAGAAGACATTTCTACCAAAGTACCTTTAGGGAAACTGTTCCAAAGAGCTTTTTTCTAAAATCTGCTCCAAATTAGTCTTTCTGTCCACTGCTGTTTTATAAGGGCTGATATGCAAATGTTGGGCACAAAGTGAAGCAATATACACCAAAAAAAAACCCAAAAAACCAACAAACAAAAAAAAAAAAACCAAAAAAAACCCCACAAAACGCAAAAATGGAAAAATTATCCTGAAACTCAGTCAAATTCAGTGTATTTTGATCCCTCCTCGAGTCCTTTACAGCTACAAGAACCATGCAAAACTCCAAATCGTAAGACTTTTGCTACCAAACAGTGGTTTTACTTTCCCTATTTACATTTTTGTTGGGCTTTGCCTGTGATTTCAATGTAACAGCAATAGACAGCTGTATTATTAATATTTATAGCATTCATTGGGCCATGGCAGCCAGATCTTAGAGGCCCATTTATTTTGAGAAAGAGCCTAAAACTAAGCCAAGATGAACCTTTTTTTTTCACCATGACTAGGGCATGAGAAGCTCAGTGTGAACACAGTAAAGTGTCACAGTGCCCTCTTAGGTGATACCTTCCCTATAGGCCACAGCATACAACAGTCATGACTGCTGATTTTTAGTAGCAGCCAAAAGCAATACATTTTCTGAAAGATACACTCCGTTTTTGTATTCCAGCCTTTCGGAGTAACAGCATGTCAAACATATGCACAGGATTTCCAAATCCCATAACAATTTTAACAGTCTCTTCTTTTTCCTCTTCCCACATATTTTTGTCCTCTTAAATTACAACATCGTCCCCAGCCCTGCAACTTTATACCAGGGTAGTATTTCTTCACTGCTACAAATACAACCACCCAAACCATCTGCTGATGAAGACTAGTGTGAACCTAGCAAACCTCTGGCAAAGGGAAGCTCAGTGGTGTGGACTGGCAACTGTGCAGAGAGATTTTTGCCTGTGATTAAATGGTGGGAATATTCAGGAAAAGTCGGCACCCCACTACTTTCACTATGGCTTTTCAGAACTATGGAAATTTGGCTATACATATTCACAGACACTGCTTGTACTGTAAACCTAAAGCAGCACTGAAGGAAATGTGAATGACAAACTTGTATGGTGATGAAGGGGCCTCATTCTGCAGGACCAGACTACCTCCACACTAGGGGAAGAACCGAGATAACCTCTGCAAGTCACCTATTTTCTAATTGCCTGGCTGGAGATTATTTATACCACAGAAGTATATATTTTTTTCTCCTATTATTGACCGAACTGCATTACCACGTATTGTTTTAAAAGCCACGTTACATACTTAGGCCAGTTCTCTTCAAAGCCACATTCATCCCACCTTCATGTCATATTCAATTTTTGTCATGCAGATCTTACGCAGGTCCCGCTACTATTCACAGCATTTGAATACATAAAAACCATCTGCAATCCCAAACATTTCCTCTTAAATGTATTTGTCAGGGATGATCGGGTTTGTCCCATAAAATTGTACTTAAAAGACAAAAATTGGATAGCAGCTCAGGTCCCCTGGTGACTATGAGTGTTATGAAACACTTTTGGTTCAATACTGATAAAAAGAGAGAGCGATCTCGCAGTTTTCCATCATGCACGACACTGGAACAATATGACCTCTTCCAAGTTAAGCAGATAATGGTTGTGGAAATGTCTTTTTTTGCAGCGTGCTCAGTTCATTACTTTCTCCTTCAGAGCAACTCTCTGGAGAGAACATGAGCAAGTAGGAAAAAAGGCATTGCCTGGCCTGCTGTGACCACAACCTAATCAGGTCTCCCATACCTCAGACTGGCTTACAAGAAGTTCAGACCATTTCTGCCACTGGGGACATTTGTCCCTGTCATCAAATGTAGTTTCATTAGACGTCCAGCAGCACTGCTCATGGCTGTACCAGAAGGCAGACAGGCAGACACCCTCTTTCAGGTCTGTCATCCAATCCACAGCTAAATCTATCACTCCAGCTAATGTGCCTGGGAAAAGAAAAGCAGAAAAAGAAACCACGGCATTAAAAAATACCAAGTTGCAAGGAAAATAAATCTAATTATAACAACAGCAAAAAACCCCATGATTTGGGGAAGCAGCTGTAATGTAAACATGAATACACCAAAGAAGGGAGGGCAATAACATGTGCGCAAAAAACCAGCCAGCTTGTTGTCTGACCTTCAATACTCTCTCTTCAGCTTTTATTTTAAATGTTACCATTTTCATATTGACTGATTGCCAAGTAGAGAGGCATAACTGGTGTAGGGATCATGCAGCCTGTCCCAGGCAGGGGTACCGTTTGGCTGAGATAAGGAAGACTTCATGCAGCATCTCTATATACATCCTGAGCTGCAGGTCTCAAACCACATTGTATATTTCAGGGATAAGGGAGGAGAAGAATACATGTTTTCCTCTAGCCTTACAGCAACATTTTAGAAGGATGATTTCACTACAGAAACAATATGGATGTCAAATTCTGACTTATGAACTTAACGGAATCGGGCTCCCGATGTGTACATTCATTAGCCATCCGAGAATGCAGAATAAAATTACCCTTCAAATCCTCTCTGTAGCTAACTAACCCTCCTTTCAGATTTTTCGCAGTATATACAGAGCTACAGTGACACCCGGTGGCCACCGGACACAGACACGGGAAAACTTGCTGGGGCCAGACACAAGAAAAGAAAATCCTGGTTTTCTAGGGCATTTGCTCACCAGCGGTAACTCCCAGCCCCCGGGATCACACGTGTCCTCCCGAACCCAGCACCAGCAGGAACGGGGGTGGGAGGCTGGGAGCAGCCAGAACACAGAACGTCAGACCTGTATTTAGCCCCCATGTCCAGGCGTTCTGAAAGCATTAAGCCACCAACTGATTGAAGAGTCCTTTAGTGTTTTCCAAACCCCTCTCATATTCAGGGGAAAGTAGAAGTCATCATTATTTTTGCAAGTCATCTGTAATACAATTTCAGGGAACCAGTAATGGATTTGAAAAGAATTTACTGGGGCTAAACCACTGAAAAACAATGCTTTGGCAAATGCAAAATGGTTTAATGTTTCCAAAACTTCTAGCTTTGTGGCTCCTGCTAAGAACGCAATTACATGAAGCATTGGAGGAGGTTGCTCCTCTTTTTCCTAGCAGCTGGGGCACACAGGTGGGTTCAAGAGCCAGTTTATTTGACCTGGAACTAGTTTTCTGGGTTTCATTTCTGTGGAAGAGGAAAAGAAAGCCATTTCAAATAATTCAGGCACATGTAACCTGTCTGTTATTCCATAGACAGAAAAAACCCACCAGTGTTTGCAAAGGCCTACATATAAGTAAATATTCTCACTCCCTTAAGAAAGATCCTTGTCCCCACACTGACCAGCAACGTGACTAGGGTAACAGTGAAGTCTTTTTGTTGTATGGGAATAATCTGAAGAATTAAGATATACACTAGACAAGATCACCAAAAAAGGCTGCAGAAGGGACTAATGGTGTCTATACCAATGATTTGCTTTCATGAAGACCTTGCCTTTCTCTTGCTTACTCGATTTCATTTTCGCAGGTCTCTATGGAAACAAAGAACCATATTCTTAGATGACGATAAATCACTGTGTTTCTGGCAATGTCAGCGTGCACAGCTTACTGAGCCTTGCAGTAAGCTCTACATTCTCCTCCAGTTTTCAGAAAGTTTCAGGAAATTGTACAGTGAATCCTCATCCCTTGGATATGAACACCAAATGCTGCGCCTCTTGCGTCTCTCGATGGACCTTTATCATCCTCTGTAGTTGACCCAATCTTCAAAGCTCACATCACACTTAACCAAGCAACTAAGTATTAATGCTACATAGAGTGCAAAGAAGGTACAAAGGCAGGCAGGCTTTTGAATGTTTTTCGCCAATAAGGTTAATATTTTCCCCAATGAAGTTAATAAACAGAGTGAGGAACAAGAATTCAGTTCTCTAATGTAACAAGCTCACATGGACCCCAGTACCTCTAGGAAAATATGCTTAATTTTACAGCTGATCTAATCCCTTTTGCCAAATGCTTTGGGATCCTCATAAGGAGGAAAATGCAACATGCAATTTACTACATACGCTTTACAAAGAAAATGAGAGGGGAGAGCCAGCATTTACAAGATAATAGTGCAGTAGTGAACCCTTCACAAGACACATGACCAGGACTAGAAGTTTTCAAAGTTCTGAATCACTGCAACTTTAAGCGGAATTAATGGGACTTGCAGGCTGTTCAGCACCTCAAAAAGTCAAGCTTTCCTCGTGCTTACTGTGACTGTCTACACCTTAATAAAGCATAAGTTTGTCTCCCTATTTCTCCCATCAAAGAAATTGAACTTGTTCTCCCTTCTATGTAACCTGGCCAGAATGAAAAACAAAGCACTCCAAAGTCAGGAAACGTTGAACTTCATTTTAGATATAAGCCTTTTGCATTTCTCCTTTTCCTTTGGCTGGTGATGGCCAATACGTATCCTTTACAATGCTCTGATAAGAATGTTAAACCTTTGTTTTGAAAACATAGTTTTCCTGATGCACCTGTGTGAGAAAACAGCATCACCCAAGTAGCACAGCACTGAACTGCAAAGGGGATTTTTGCACCCCAGCTCCAGAGCATTTCAGCATTAGTATGGTAATATAGTATGATAGTACTATACTTTTATTGTATGATAGTAGTATGATAGTACTTTATGTCATGTCATTTAGAAAACATAGACTCTTTTGGTGATCTGTAAATAGCAAATATCTTCAGTTGGCTAGTAAGTTAGGTTGAGGAATGCCCACTAGTCTGCTGGCAGGATGGCCACAGTAGAAACTCAGAATTCCTTACAGATGAGTGCTTAAAAATTTGACACCTAAAATTTTTAGGTGCATTTCCCCATATGTTGCTTTGTATTTCTCAAGAAAGTGTGTAAACTTTCTGATAGAGACAGGTCCAAGTAATGGCCAGCATCTTTTTCTGGCACATAGTATGAGCAGTTTTCGTATGATCTCCACACCAAACAGCATTCGTGAGCATTATTGCTCTTTCCCCCTTCCTGAAATGAGCAAGCTCTGGCTCCCACGACCTCATTTCCAGAAGCTCCTTAGTGCATTTCCAGCCACTTGACAGTGTCATACACCATCTTCTCCCTCCATGTAGCACCTGAGGGTTCAAAGCCCTGTGGGTACATGGCTCTGAAACAGCTGGGATGGGGACTCTCCATCTTTGCCCTGCCCCAGAAACACTGAAAGCACAGAGCACATGTCACTTCAATGGTAAACAGAGAAAGTCTACAGGGCTCAGCCCAGATCATGAGCATGCAGATAATTTTTGTTCTTTAGCTAATACACAAGTTCTTGTCCTAATCTAAAAACAGACTAAATAGACTTTACCCTTTGAGGCAAACCACGTTGCTCTGCACCCTTGCCATTGAAAAGGTTGCAAAAGCTAATGTATCTTAGCTGCAGTTTACCTTCGACCTCCATTCCCAAGCTGGACATATTTTAGGACAGCATTAGGGCTTATCAAAAGTCATCAACTCTGGCTTTCAACAACCTTGAGGATTTCAGCATGAGGTGTCATTGCAAACTGGAACTGAGACAAACCCTCCGGGGTATTTTTACTAAATGGGAGTGTGTGAGTGTACACCAACTTCCCTTTACGAGAGTGAGGGGATTACTGACAAGCTTGCAAGAGGTGACTGAAGCCCTCAAGGGCTTGCTCTAACTTTATTTCAAGCACACAATTCTCCATCCCAGACAAAGCTAATCCTGGCCTTCAGGCAGGATTCAGCAGTCCTGGTAGTCACAGTCTATCAGATTCTCTTCCAATCTCACTCCCCTGTCAAAGCTTTTGTGGAAACAAATATATCTATCTCTAAAAAATAACATAATTTGTCAAAAATGTCACTTCAGCAAGGTTTTCTCAAGAACTTCCCCAGTACTTCTGAGGCTGCTGATCAACTGTAATAAACACAGTAACTTGACAGTTGGTAAGCAGGAGATTCACACCATGTGGAAATGCTGATACTTCACATCATACTTTTACCAAGCAGCATGATACTAGAGCACTCTGACATCGCTGAAAAAGCGTAAGAAATGGCAGCTGTTTCAGCTTGGGAGGAGAAGTGCAGCTTTCCAAGTTGGAAGATGTGCTAAACTGAGCAGAAGACAGGAGCAATTTGGGAAATTAATGAATTTGCCATCTGAGTTTGAGCAGGCTGTTAAATATGTAATGTCTGTCTGTCCTGGAAGCAGATCTGAAACTGAGACTGAAACTGTATTTTTCCTTCATTCATATATAAAGAAGATAACCCAGTGGATATTGCAATTTACAAAACTCCCCTTTGAGTGCCTACAACCAACATTTTCCCCACATCATAATATCTACTTGCAGAATTAAAGTAAGTGAAGACAAGAAAATCGACTTTGGTGAATCTAAGATTCAGGAAGTCTAAACAGCCCATTGAGTATAAAGCAATCAGATGCATGTTTCCAAAAGCAATAGAAAAATCCCTTTACTGGTGCATAACATTTTTTCTGGGTCAGCACTCCTCAGAATACTTGGCAAGTGGGTATTTTTATTAAGGATTACAACTGCATGGGTGCATAGCTGTCTTTTTAGCTTGAAACATCAGTGGAGAGACACAGAAGTAAAAAGAGAAGAAGATGGCAAACTTGGGTGAGATGGTTCTGGGCATAACTGTAATGCTAACACACACATACCTGCCAGAAGTCCTATGAGAAGCATTACAACCCATCCTGACCAAGCATCCAGCAAACTCTTGATGAACTCCCATATGGATTCCTTACTTTTGCTTGTAATCTGAAAAGAAAATACAGACATAGATACAGGCTAACAAAGCTTTAGTGTATAATGTTTAAAACAAAAAATATTCAGCCTCCTTGAAGGTGCACACAATTACTCTCTACTCAATCATTTTTCAGAGATGCTCTCCTGATTAAGTTGCCAGAAGCCCTTTCCTATTTACAAACTGAAGACATGCCACATCCATACTTTTAGAAGTGCTCCTCAAGTCATACAACAAGGTAGAAAGCAGTAACTTTGGAGAACTGCTTGTTTTTCTTGCCAGCAGGATGGCTGTGATGTGTCAAGACCTGACACCTTTACCTTTCTGTGGCGGTCGGTGTCGCGTGATTTCTCCCGCAGCCAGTCAATGGTGTGGAAATCTTCGTAAGTTCCAACATCGGGGAAAGGCTCATCCAGAAAATCCATCAGGTTGCCAGAACCATTCATGTCTCCTGCATTGACCATATTAGGGTCTGTACGTAGAGAGAAAAACAAGTACATCAATAAATTCATGCAGCTTTGCCAGACCTTTAAGAATCAAGTTTTCCAAAATACCTCCACAAACCACAGAGTCAAGAGCACCTGAGTCAGAAGTCCTGGTGGGCACTTACTGAAATCTATGCATTGCCATTAGAAAAAGTGTTTTGCTGAAGACTACTTCAATAGCTGAGCAAACCCTCAAAAGCATACACAAAAAACACAGGATCCATGTGCAGGAAGACCAGCTTTCCTGAAAACAGAGCCCCAAACCCCAGGGTGGTTCTGAGCTGTTTCTGCATCCTCATCCCTGCAGGGAGATCACCAAGTAGGCAAGCTCACTAGCTCAGAAAACAAATACAGTAGAATTTACCATTCATCATGAACTGCAGATTTTACACAGCGACATTCATCATAACACTGCAGTGCTGTGTAGTTTTACATACTCGAAGCTCCCTGCACTGATCCACTTTTCTTTAACTGCTCAGAAGACAAAGCTCAATTTATTAATAATACATACAATAAGATATTAAAACAGAGAAACATAGATGCCCATTGCTCTGCAGCCCTGGAAACTATACCTTGTTTATGTGGTCCACGTAAGCAAAGTATGAAGAAGTTAATTCATAACTATCGTACCTTTCTTTCCCACAGTAAGCTCAGCAACATCTGGCTAGGTGCAAAAATTACTGTTATCTCCTTTAAATGTCAGGTCCCAAAGTAGTCACTAATATGACAAGCTCCAGAAACAGCTGACATCATTCCCAATGAGAAGAGCCCTTAGCAGCATGACAAGCTATTAGATGAAGTAGTTAAGGCAGACAGGCTTGGATTCATCTAACTGAACTCTGGCCATCTGAACATTTGGTATTTGGACTGTAAGAACTACCTAGGCTGCCTCTAGAGACAAAGATGTATGTAAGAATGTGTGGCAGGAGAGTGCCTGCTCCTTAAAAGGTAAGGTCAAGGACCTTTTTCGGTGTAGCAAGGGATATTAAGCAAATGTGGAAGCCTGAATAAGAACATACAGGGACACAAATCTGACACAAATAGTAAGGGAGGTGGAAATGGGAACCAAACCCGGTCAGTCACACACAATGGTGTGTCTGCCTCTGGGATGCACACTCAGGTTTGCTACTGGTTGAACCTGCACATAAGAAAGTGGCAGCTGTGACCCTCACTGTGGGCAGAGACGCCAGGTCCATGGTGTAGACAGGCTCTGGACAGGGACAGGAGGGTCCTGGGCTGGGGCAGCTGGAGGAGGCAGCTGTGTGCTTCTACATCACTTAACAAAGTGTTGCTCTAAAGCGTGATTAATACCATCCATCGTAAAATAGGAGGGTGGGAAACTGAGTCTTCCAGAGAGTACCTAGGTTTGTAACCTGAAATGGCAAGCAAAAAAAACCCCAGCTAACAGAGGATTACAAGGGGGCGGGGAGAACCAAAAAAGAAAACACATGAAAACACGTAAGAAAAAATGGGGACGGGTACAGGCTTCAGGGGTTTTGCAGAACTGGCCCTGCAGAACCTGTAAGTCCTTGACAGACACAAGATAACTTTTGCAGGTCACTGATGAGGCTAGCATGGTACTAATGACTACCACAGGTATGGAAACAGGGAATTCATGCGTAAAGAATTTGGATCTTTGAATCTGTGAGGAAATTTCCCGATTCTGCAGTTGGAACAGGCAAAACTGTGGCAGATAAGCTTTTAATCCACTGTCCATACACACCCTGCTGCTCTGCTTGTCCCCCTTTATTTATTGCCATTTTCCCCTCCTCCCCCCTCCCCCAATCCATTTTCAACTGCTTTACTTGAATTCTTTCCATTTAACTTTTTTCCCTGGTGGGGATTTTAGGGACATAACAAGTGTGAATACTCAGCTTTGTCAGTGCCTGCTCTTTGCACTCCACCAACTAGGACTTTTTGGACAACACAGACAATGTGCTTGCATAAGCAGCTGAGAAAAGCATTATCTTACAGGCAACCAGCAGGTCACCATTCTAATGCTGTAGAAGCCCTTTTAAGTGAGGAAATCAAGTAATCTCAAAGCTCAGTGGTGTGTTTGTCTCAAAGAAAATCAAGCAAAGGAGTTGCAGCCTGGGGAAGGAAACCAAATGCAGAGCAGGTGTCCCATGCAGCTCTGCTGAGCACAAATAAGCTGCCACAGGATTGAGGCAGTTCAAAAAGTAGCAGTTTAGAAGAGTGACAATTGAGAATAGGAGCACTTGAGCAAACAGGAGAGCAGGCTCCTACATGTGCTAAGGGAAATGGAAGTCTGAAGGTGGGATGCTGTGGCTGACACTAGGGAGCTGAAGTTGCAAGTGGACTTTGAGTTTGGCGTCTCATAAACCATGACCAGGGACTGGAATGGGAAGCTGAAATGAGGTGAAAGGATTAGACCATGCTATTATTTTGTAACACTGTGACATTTTGCAGATCATTTACTTCATACCGCTATGCAGCAAAGAAGGACCTCTAAAGAACACGCAGTTCAGACTGCTTGCCTGCACCATGCAGTCCTCCTGCTACAGAAACAAACCTCTGGGAACTCTTGCACTGAAAGTGTTGGCAAGTTTTCCTTAATAGTACAAGAAAATTACCCAACATGCGAGTTATATCACATAAAAAATAGCTTTTTAAGTATGTTGTCGATGCCCAGCACATGACAGTATTGTGATGGATAATACCAGGCCAGACCACAAGTACGTAGGGTAATTATAATCTCAGCTTGAATCTACCCCAAAAATACGTGCTATACAACATGTCCAGGGAGAGAAAAACGTGCTAGAGACCACAGGGCCATGGAAGACTGAGAAAACAAACACACTTTGAACTCTAGGTAGCACACCAATACATGGAAACTGCAGCTAGCTGGATGGTTATCAGCCTTGAAGTTTACTTCAGGTACCACGCTTCTGAAAGCACTGATGTGATATCAGATTATGCAAAAAACAATTTCAGTAAACAAAACCTAGGTACAGCACTTTTGAACTGAGTACTGCAGAGTTCCTATCTACATCCTAGCACTAAGTACTTTAAAAATCACTTTCTTTCTATTTTGCATTTATCTCCCCTTACTTCAGCATCTGAAATAATCTCGAGTTCATTTCAGGATAAACTGACTTGACCTCTTAGAGATGCTTGCAGAGGTGTTTCCAGTTCTGCCAGCAGAACTGAAGCCTTTACACAAATAACTCAATTGCAGATACTTTAATTTAGTACACATAGGTTAAGGGCAAATTAATCTCATCCAAACAGGTGTACTTCAGCAACCCACTCCAATGGTGCCAAAAGTATGAGCATTTGTGGTGCAAACTGTCTCATCTACCCTCAGAAATCTGACTGGATGCTAAAATCTAGATTCCTTTCATAGCAGATGAGGGGAAATAAGCTTTCTTCAGATTGAATTTATCTGATGTATTTTAGATATTTACATTAGAATGAGAGGTTGTTTCCCACAAGTGCTAATTTCTGCTTACTGATTACAAAGAGGTATCAGAGTTAGACATCCACATCTCATCAAATGAGTTCAACACTACCAATTCGAAAGAAAACATTGCAATACATGCAGAACAAGTAACAAATGCAACTCATAGCTACTCCTAACACCTGAATATCTAATAGATTTGGATATTGACAGACCTTATATACACAGAAGGGTGTTGAATCTTGCTGAGTAAGCACTTAACATACATATTTTGTCCCCTCGTTGCTCTATGTCTTAGATGTTCTTGCTGCCCTTTCCACTACTTTTCCAGATGCTGATGCAACACAGTTTGTGCAAGGGCAAACATTTCCTGCTTAGTCCCCTATTCTTTTCCTAATAATTCCTGGCATTCCATCAGCTTTTCCTTGGGCAGACATCCAACATTTCCACTGAGCAGTCTCCTGTGACTCCAGGCTATGCTCCGTAAGAGGAAACAGCCAGTTTGGAGCCCATCACTCTGTGGTCTCTTAGGGACATTTTCCCCATTGCTTTAAAGACTTTGAACTACATCTGCCATTTTATTCCCTGCAATACAGTAGAGAGCCTTCCTCAGCTCTTAACAGTGAGATCTCATTTTTACTGACTAGCCTAGCGTAACTACAACCGAACATTTTTGTCAACACTCTGCTTTAACAATTGTAAACAGGTTCTTGCTGGAAACTGAACCAGGAAACAGAGAAATATGACTGAACTATTGTTATGTCCTCAATTCAGAGGGTTCTGGCTAGCAGATTCCCCTGGATTTAGGCCTACGCCAGACTACTCCAGGCCTGTAGATGGAGCAAGGTCTTGGCCAGGATCAATTTACAAACTGAGACAGGTCACAGCACCAGACTGCCAATTGTGCCTCTTGATAGACTCCCCTGGATGACACATAACCCTCAGACATCATCCAGAAACCTTAGGTTTCAGGTCAACCTGACGTTCAGTCCCTGATCTCCCAGCTAGCCATGCTCAGCGCTCGGTGGAGGCAAGGGTCAAAAGAGCCAGTCTATAGCCCATGAAGCTTGATGAGTGTATAAAGCCAGATAATTTTTAATTAAGTAATCACTGAAGCCTCCTATGTACGGAAAGTGAAGAAGAGGTTAGTGCAAATAAACTACAGAAAATGAGGTGTGAACACAGTGAGCTGCCCGGCAGGCTGGTGCATGCCAGCAAGCACAGCAGGCACTGCATGGACTGCAGGTCTGTTACATTTACTCACTTTGTGTTATTTTTTAAAGAACCAAGAGGTTCTTCATATTTAAGGATATGTTTTTTCTGCAGGTCTCACAGTGAGTAAATTCAACATGTGATTGGGACCAGCTGTATGATACACTGCAGCTCGGAGCGAGGTTTTATAGAAGAGCAATAAATTACATTTACAATGGAAATACTGACAACCTCTCAGCTTTACAGCACTGTTACAGCATGAGCAAATGCAAAAGCCACAGCTCGAAGAGCTCTGCTGGTGAACTGACATTCTAGGTATTATGTTGACTGACTGATCGGATCTGACGTGTTTGA